GAGGCATTGCTGGGCGAGGTGAAGAGGATGGCTGTCCCACACAGTCCCGGGGCTGCCCCTGCCCAGGCCAACTTACGCCTTCGTTGTCAAAGAAGAACTTCTCATTCCCTCCGGACCCTTGCCAGGCCACCTGCAATGACGACAACAACAGCAAACATGGGCAGGCTACATGAGCTCCACGTCAGCTGAGCCAGGCTGACTGCACCCAGGTGTGCTCATGGACAGAATACCCTGTGGCACGGCACGGCAGCCATCTCACGCCGCATGCTTTGGTGCTTCCCATCTCTGTGTGGCTCAGACCCTTTCTTGGAGATCTCTACCACATATAACCCTCAAAAACCGATGACCACACTCCCCCCAAGCAAGTGGCTGGTCATCTGGTGGATAGGCAGCTCGGAAGGAGCTGTGCTTTGCTTGCAGAAGGTCCTTGGTTTAAATCCCTGGGACTTCCAGCTAAAAGGAAAGCACAGGTGGACAAAACCTCTGTCTGGTACCTTGGAGAGCAGCCACTAATCATGCCACAGGATTTTCATTATATCACCAGGAAAGTAACTTCTCATATAATATGGAAGTATATATAATTTGCCCATCATTGATAGTAGACTGATGGGCTGTTAATTATTTGGATCTGTTGGATCACCTTTTTTATGGATGGGAATTATTGCATGTCGTCAAGAGGAGGTCATAATTCCTGTCTCTTTAATTTGTTTAAGTATTTGGGTTAGAATCTCCACCCACCAATCAGGATTTGCTTTAAATCCTGATTGGTGTAGTGGTTAAGTGTGCGGGCTCTAATCTGGGAGAACTGGGTTTGATTCCTCGCTCCTCCACTTGCAGCTGCTGGATGACCTTGGGCAAGCCATAGTTCTGATAAGAGCTGTCCTTGAAAAAGAGCAGTTTCTTTCAGAGTTCTCTCAGCCCCACCCACCTCACAGGGTGTCTGTTGTGGGGAGGGGAAGGGAAAGGAGTTTGTAAGACGCTCTGAGACTCTTGAGTGAAGGGCGGGGTATAAATCCAATCTCTTCTTCTTCTTCATAAATAGCTCTGCAGGTATCAGGTCAGGGGGCCTGGTGCCTTCCCGGATTGTAACTGAGATATTAAAAGTTTCATTTCCAGTACCGTGACAGGGGGCCATTTCTCAAGATTTGGTGTGAAAGTCATTTGGGCAGAAGTGCAGTTAACAGATGGAAGTGCAAATAAGGCCTTGAAATGTGCCTCCCCACAGTTGGCAGAGATGTGGCAGAGGAGAAGGGATCTAGTATTTAGCTCCTTCGTGATCATGTCCCAGAAGATTTTTACATCTTTTTGTTTGGGAGCCCAAATTAAGTGTTTCCATGAGGTAGTTAAAGCAGCTCGTTTTTTGTTTTAATGAGCATTCTAAGTTAACAAGGAAATCCATTTAAGTATGCCTCTGTCATTACATGATTTAAATTGGTGATGCAGAAAAATTCTATTTATTGCCTTTTAATGAGATTGGCAGTTAAGTTTAGCCTTCTTACCTTGCTTTAGAAAAGATAACGAGGACATATCAGATGTATTCTTGGATGTAACTGATTATATCATAGTTAAGAACCAATCAGTTATCAGAAAATAATCACATGATTAAGACAAAAGTGATTTAGAGTAAGATAAGACAGATTTTTTAAAATAAAAACATTACTGTGATAAGCAAATCAGATTCAGGGACAGGGTCTTGTCGTGACACCCATTGGTGTGCGGCATCTCCCGGGGGCAATCCTAACCCCAATGCATTTTAACATCTATATATGCCCTCTTGCCCAGTTGGTCAGGAGGTTCGGGCTACGGTGCCACCAATATGCTGATGACACCCAGCACAGCCAACCAGATACTGCCCCAGAAGATCTGGCCAGTTGTTTGGGAGCTGTGGTGGAATGGTTAAAATAGAGCTTCCTGAAGCTGAACCCATCAAAGACAGAGGTCCTGTGGCTGGGACAGGGGGGGCAGGGGCAGGATTTCAGCTTCTCACTCTGGATGGGGTACATCTGGTGCCAGCTTCCTCCGACAAGAGTTTGATGCTTCTCTTCCTTTAGAGGCACAGGTCACATATTGTCAGGTTCCACAGCCAAACAAAGGAGTACACGCTTAACATAAGGTTATACTTTATTGCAAGAGCCATGGAGGCAGTAACATGGTCACTGTTAGGAATGGCTACTTTCCTACAAGCATAAAGGGATATAGGGTTTTCGTACGCACCCCCCCCCACTCCTAAGCCAATCGGCCTGACTCCCGCACGCGGGAGAATGGGGCCCCAGGCCGTTACAGCCAAAGCTGGGAATCGAAACCTATCCCACGGGTAATAGATGGGGAGACACTACACAGACAGCTAGCTAGCAAGGTCATAGATAAGCAAGGACAAAGGAATGCGGCATCAGTTGGTACACAGGTCAAGCGGCTGCACTCTCGCCCATAAACATCATGGCAGCATAGCTGACACAAATACAACCTCCGGATGGCATTTTTCCATCTTTGCCAAGCCTGGCAGCTGGTTCCCTACCTGTCCCGCACTGATCTAGCTACAGTCGCCCATGCAATGGTCACCTCTATACTGGATTACTGTAACTTGATCTATGCACAGCTGCCATTGAACTTGCTCCAGAAACTTCAACTGGTCCAGAATGCAGCCACACGGGTCCTTCTGAGAACCCTGTTGAGAGCCCTGTGATCTATCAGCTGCACTGGCTCCAGATTGACGACTGAATCAAATTCAAGGCTTTGGTACTTACCTTCAAAGCCCTAAATGGTCTGGGACCATCGTATCTGCGGGACCATCTCTTCCTATATGCCCCTCAGAGACCACTACACTCAACTAGTACCAACTTGCTGGTCCCAAAATGGTCCGTCTGTCCTCTTACTAGTGAGAGCCAGGCCCTGCGGGACTTAGCTCAATTCCGCAGGGCCTGTGAGACTGAGACGTTCCAGCAGGCATATGGTTGAGGACAGTGATGGCTGGAGAGATCAGTGGCCTCCCGGGTTTCTTCCCCCCTCCTTTACACTGCACTTTCTCCTTGCTAAGATTCCCCCATGAATGGAACATGGTTCTTATGTCAACCAACCAGTTATCTGCTGGATAGATGTGTGACGCCATCTAACAGTAGATTGAATTTGGCATTATTGGAGTGTACTGCACTGTGTTTTATTATTATGTAATGCTGTACATTCTTTTTATTTTATTTTATGTACTCCGTATACACATGTTGTACGCCGCCCTGAGTCCCTCTTGTGGGAAATGGATCAAAATAGAAATTAAATATATTGTTGTTATTGTTGTTGTTATTATTCCTCTGGATGGAAGTCACCAAGGAGATTAGGTGAGATTTCTCTCTCTCTCTCTGTGTGACTGATTTGGGCTTATATGAAAATCCCTATAAGCAGTTTTAATACAATAATCTAAAACCTGTTTTGCTTTAAAATATTACTTACTATAATATGATTAAGAAATGTCAGGAACTCTGATAAGCCTAGAACTTGTTTTTACAGAAGCTATAGGATTAATTTTCACATATATTTTCTAGTATTTTGCCTAGTAACGAGAGCTATTCCTTTTTTTTTCAATAAAAGACAAAGCGCTCTGAACATTTTTCGGACTGGTTTGCTGGTTTTAGTTCAAAGAAAAGAACTCACAATGATCTCATTTGCATTATCAGATGTAAAGGTTGACAGACAGAAAGATCTGCTCCTAAGTGTTCAAAACAGACAAAGCCCTTTTAGAACAGTTTATCAGTATTCCCTCTAAGCTGAGTTAGTGTGAGCTAGCTCACAGTTTTTTACCCTCCAGCTCACAGATTTTTGTCTCAGCTCAGGAAGGATGGCTCCAGAGCAAAGTAATTTATGCAGCAGCCAAATCGCTTGCTCACAACTTTAAAGCCAGCAGCTCACAAAGTAGAATTTTTGCTCACAAGAGTCCACAGCTTAGAGGGTGCATTAGTCCAGATTCTCCAATTGGATGTGGGAGTGAAGACACCCCATTACAGTCAAAGCAGAGGAATACAGCAGCTTCCTGAGACTCCTGCAGGCAGCCGACAAGTCTGGGCTAAGCCATGTAAAGCTGTGCCCAGCGCAACCCAACCTCTCCACTACTGGCATCAGAAACAGCCACATAGGGAAGTAGCAAAGACTGATCTATGCAACACTTATCTGTGATGGGCTGAGAGGGAGAGAAACATGCACCCACTTTGAAAAGCCAGGGGGCAGAGTATGAACAAGCATGTTGGCCAATCAGAAGAGGGAGGCTGAACAAAGGGGCGGAAGAAGAGCAGAACCAGAGGGAAATGGCCCACCAAAAGGGCCTCTGAGGCATGGGACGTGAAGGCTCTGAAGTGCAGCCAAAGAAATCTGGCATCTGCTGCAACAGTTCAGTGTGGGAGGCCTGGAAACACTCAGGCAGGAACCCCGAGGAAGAATGTGAAGGGGAAAGCACCATCAGAAGGGCATACCACCCACAGACCTGGCAACTCTGATCTGGTCACACTGTGCTCACAGATCCGAACCTCGGCACACGCAAGCACTGCCAGGCAATCCTCTGTGGGCCATCTGAGCCAGCTGTACCCCATGCCGCCTTTGAACACTGAGTCCCCAAGCTGAGCTCCCCTGGTTCCCACAGGCACCCCACAGTACTGTAGTATGAATGGGAATATAAAGATATTTATATATAGGTTTTTTTCTTCTTGATTGTTCATATTCATATTTCTCTGGTTTTTATAGATTTATTCTTAAGTAATATTTTATTAGGATGTTAGAAAGGCCTGTTATATAGAAGGCTTTCCTCTTGTAGGTCTGATATTGTTAGCAGACAACATAATAGGTACAAAGTTCATGATTCTGTAGTTCTTAGGGCAAACCTTTCAATGTCTGGGTCAGATAAGATTTTAGTCTCGTATCAGTAAAAATACTTTTGTTTGGGATATGAAGAATCCTTGCCCATTATTATTTAGGTTAGGTTAAGTAAACACTTAGTTTGACGTAGATATGTTTCTTTATATCTGGCCAATCAGAGGATTATGACTCAAATTACCACTGTCTTTTGTAACCAATTATGCTGTTTGAATATTGTTTTCTCGATGATGTCAGTCCATGTATAAAATATCATGTATTTCCTGAATATGCTGAGAAGAAAGTAGTCAATTTTGGATGGACTATTTGGTCCAATTGTTTTTCTGTTAATTGAAATAAAACATAGATCTTCCTCCTCATTTGACTTCATTTTTGACATGGAATCAATATGTACAACAGTACCTCACTAAGCTTGGTGGAACTGAGGTCCCCCAGGAGCAGGGTGTCTGAAGTGTGGGCCACAAGGTAGCGGTCCTTCCCCAGGATTTTCACCTCATCAATTTCATAGCCGTAGTGGGATTTCAACACCACTCGCATCCCCGTGGACAGATTCTTCACAATGACCTGGGAGGGAAGTGGAGAAAAGGACATCACTGCTGCTCTCTGTCTGGCTGTATGTGTAAGGGTGCTTTCCCCATCCCAACAGAGGCTGACTTGCAGGAGAAGTCTGTCCAGCAATCTGGGCAGCAAGACTGCAGCAGCCTTCAGGCCCTGAGCCAAGCTTGATTACAAAAAGGGGAGGGTCCTAAATGGCCTCAGACTGGGCTGGGTTACTAAGGGACCACTGGCCATACTAAAGGACCATACCAGCCTGCCCCCTATTTAAGCTCTGCATCAGAAGCCCAGCTCCAGGAGGTCAAGGGGTGGCCACTAACAGAAGGCCCTTCTCTGACATGGCACCTTCCCCATGTCAGTGATTTTACTGACACCTGGACACCAGGTTAAAACTTTCCTTTTTGTCCAGGCAGTTCCTGCTGGTTTTTAAGATTTCTTTTCCACCTGAGAATTCAGTTGCTGCATCTGTTGCTATCTGTTTCTATAACAACAGTTCTCCCATCCACATTTTACCCTGCTACTAATTTCTTAGGGCCACTATATCCCTCTCTGCTTTTCTAGTGTTTTTGCAGTTGGTTTTCTGCATGAATGGAGCCTTCAAGGACTCACAGGCGAGGGAAATGGAGACCCCCTGGGCCCTTCTGCCTCAGCTGTATTTGCTTCCCCCACCCTGACCCCCACTTCTGGCGCCTCTGCTGCTTTAGCTTCTGCTTCATTCCTTTTCCTCTCTATGCACGTGCTCAGACAGTGCGGATTCTGGTTTTGGACTGGATTATCTGCAGATCTGGGGTTCTCCTGGGTTCACACAAAGCTCAAGCTCAGCCCTGGGTGCCCCCCCCCCCGGAGCCTGCATGTACATGTCAATAGCTACCTGTTGCTGTTAGATATACAATCACATTCTGTAAAGTGCTCCGCGGCGTCTTTTGCGATGTTCCAGTCTGTTGTAATCTTTTCTCTCTTCGGCAAGGACACTGTGCTTTGCAGAAGCTTCAGGGAGGTGCCCCAGTCTTCTCTTCCAACCCCAGGCCCAAAACAAACTCCCCTCCCCCGCCCCATTCACTGCCAAGCCATTCCCGCATCACAAATCACACCCACCTGGCTGGGTCCTACGTATGTCATCTCAAATTTGTTCTTGTAAATGGTTCTGCGAAGACAACAGTCAAACTGCTCCACCCCACCACAGAGGGTGCCCTGTGGGAACAAGGAAAGCACACAAAGACATCAGGGAAGACCTCTTATCCCTTCAGCAGCTCCTGTCCAGCCTCCAAATTTGCCAGCTGGCTCCTTGGCCACTTGTACAGAGTGGAAGGCACCATGGGAGGGGCACCACCCAAAGGGGTCACCACCCAGACACAAAATGCTGCCACACAAACTTCACACGCACCGCACAGAGCCGTGAGCCATCCCGTTTCCACGCCAAGGCCGTGATTGTATACAGGTGAGGGATCTCCTTGGGTTTGGCTTCCTCCCAGGCACTCCGACGGGGACTCCAGTTCAGCACCCTGAGCCTGCAGGAACAGGTGGGGGGTCACTGAATAACCGGGGGGGGATGGGGGGCAAGGTGACTCTACAGCACAGCACCTCCCCCCAGCATCACACCTGTCAAAGCTGCCGATTACCACTGACTGTCCCCCAGGGCTGGCAGCAGCTACCATGAACTCTTTCTCTGAAGAGTCCCGGCTGTAGTCAAAGGTCTGGATCACATGCCCCTCCTTCCCGTAGGCCACAATCTTCTTGTCACAGCCTGCGGCCACAATGCTGCTGGATGCCCATGCCAGGGCATAAGGGGGACAAGGGTGCACTACCAACTTGCCCTGTGGGAAAAGCAAGAGAGGAGAACGAGAATAGGGTGAGAAGGAGGGACCGAGTTGTACAGCAGCCAGCTAAGGTTGTGCCCAGCGTCTCTCCAAACAAGCATTTGCTCCATACACAAGCCTCAGGCTGCTGCATCACGCCATTATTGGCCTAAGCGGCACAAAGCAGCCAGGAGACAGAGCTGGACCTGCTGCCAAAGGGGAGACCAAAGGGCCCCTTTCTATTGGGAGCTACTCTTATGAGTGCCACAGGACACTGTAAATACACCGTTGCAGACACAAATCACTGTTGATCCTCCCAGCTGTTTGTGTCAATAAGCATTTCCAAACAGGGTTATTCTCCCTCCAAATAATGCTCTCTGGCATAGGAAGGCCAAGAGAGATGGCTTCAAGTCTCAGCCTGAGTGTCTGGGACAGGGCTGCCACCTGAAAAGCACAGACACATCAGGAAGCGTAAGCAACACAGGGAGCTCGTTTTCCCCTGGAGGCACCCATGGCCTGGTTTCAATTAGGGTCTCATGAAGGGATTTGTGGCTAAATGGCTACGGGTGATGCTACTAGCCCAAAAAACGTGGAAGGAGAACGGTTCATACTCTCGTGCGCTTCACTACCCAGTTCCCTTATTGGCTGCATGCCCTCTGGGCTGATAACCAAAGCAGTAACTGCCCCATCTCTAATCAACAGTTCTACAATCCCTGCTGGGAATTATGCCTTCTCCCCCCCCACCACACCCTGACTGCAGTGGGAAAAACTGCTTTGTTCTGTAGCACTGAAGCCATGAGCTTGAGATCAGCAGCAAGCCTTCTAGGGGGCTTGCTACAGAAGAAATAGACCTACAACTGTTTGCTGCATTTGTGTGTGTGACATTTTTAGATTTTCTTAGGGCCTGGGGTCAGGGGTGAGATAATGAGAAAAAAGGTAATGAGATACCTCGGGATTGGTGGAGGGGAGGGGGTTTCCTCATGTCTAGATTTATTTCCAGAGCTATCCAACTACCTTCTACAAGAGAGGAACACTCCACCTCATAGAAAAATATCACCCCCACCCCCCCAAGGCACAAATGAAGCACACAGGGAGCAGGAGGGACTCTGTCATAAGAACATAAGAACATAAGAGATGCCAATGCTGGATCAGGCCAAAGGCCCATCCAGTCCAACACTCTGTATCACACAGTGGCCAGAAATACCAGTGCCATCAGGAGGTCCACCAGTGGGGCCAGGACATTAGAAGCCCTCCCCCTGTTGACCCCCCCCCCCCAAGCACCAAGAAGACAGAGCATCACTTGCCCCAGAGCCCCTAGCTATACCTTGTGGCTAATAGCCACTGATGGACCTCTGCTCCATATGCTTATCTAATTCCCTTTTGAAGCCGTCCATGTCACTCAGACTAGTGAGCTCATAGGCTCCAGACAAGAGGTGCTCCTCCACAGCCTATACACAACACGTGACTGATGTGTTTGCTGCAGGAAGAATCACTGTTCCCCAAAAACTCCACTTAAGCACAGGAAATTGTGACTCCCGGGAATGGAAGCGAACCTCATCATGCCAACGTTTCCCTTTGGAAAGAACCAGGAGGTCACAAACCCCCCAGCCGCTAAGTAGGTCTAACTGGACTGGGGAAAGGGAAGAACCTTAGAGGGAAGAACCTGACCGTACCTGGGACTCCCCAGAGCCTTCGTCGTCAAAGAAGTAGCGCACGATCGTTCCATCTGCATGGCCAGATAGGATTCCCTTCCCTGAGGTGCTGAAAAAGTATACAAGATGTTATCAGCAGAGAGGCCTAGAAGGTCTCATCCTCACAGTGTTTCAGCTGCGATGGTTTGTTGGAGGATTTGGGGGTGGGGGTGGTAGTAAAAGAGCTCAGTACCCTACAGCTCAGTGCCCTAGGAGTCTAAAATGGATGGGGTACATCACAAAGACCTGCTAAGATTAGTCTTACACTGCTATGAAGCTGGCAGGTGAAAAAACAGAGCTTGCCATTCCTGGGGCAGCCAAAGAGATGGCAGTGGAGTGGGATTTTTCTCCTCTCACTGTCGCACACTTACTTGGAGGTCAATGATACTACATAGGAGTCTGTCCCGTAAATAGTGGATGACTTGCTGGACTTGGTGTTTGCTAGACGAACCTTTGGGAGAGAAAGATCTGGTCAACTCATCAGCCTGTGATAGCAGAAAGGAAAGCGCCTATGGGCAAAGTGAGCCGGGGGAGTCTTGGGGCACCAGCCAGCCAAGACAGACCACTTGGGTGCAATCATTTGAGCACGCTCATCCTAGCACCCAGCGCTGCATCAGAAGCAGACAGCAGCTTCCCTACCTTGCCCTCAACGAGCCCAAAGACTATGGTGTTCTCCTCTGGCCACAGCAAACAAGTCACAGCACTCTGTTGGAGGACAGAATAAGAATAAGCAGGCAGGAGCATTACAGAAGCATGGCTTGACTGGACTGAGGGAGAGGAAGCTACACGACATAAGAACATAAGAACATAAGAGATGCCAATGTTGGCTCAGGCCAGAGGCCCATCCAGTCCAACACTCTGTATCACACAGTGGCCAGAAATACCAGTGCCATCAGGAGGTCCACCACTGGGGCCAGGACATTAGAAGCCCTCCCACAGTTGACCCCCCCCCCAAGCACGAAGAAGACAGAGCATCACTTGCCACAGAGTCCCTATCTATACCTTGTGGCTAATAGCCACTGATGTAGCCTGGTCTCTGATGGGGCTCTAAAATGATTATTTTCTCTAAGAACTGGAGCCTTGTTGTGACCCTTGTTCCCACGTTGGCTCAGACGGACATGAGAGCTGGGTTGAGTTATCCTGCCCAACTCATGTTCTGTGACCTTGCTTTGCCCAGTGCTGAACCTCCCCGTTCCTCCCCTCTGAATTTTTCAAACCATGCTCTTGGGAAGATTTTAAAAAAGCCCACACAACTATCTGCCCACTGCCAGAATGCCACCTCTTATTTGTAGAGAAGGGCAAAGGAGAGCAGGCTGCAGAAAACCAGGTTCTAAAGGGATCTAGACATCACAGCAAAAGGCCACCGGTTCTCACAGAGTGAAGGCAGGCTGGGGCTTACCGTCTGAATGAACTTGTTGCAGATCACCTTCTTGTCACCCCTGCACAACGGGGAAGAAAAAAGACTACCGTTGCCACAGGCCAACAGGAAAGGTCCTATGGGGGTACAGGGGCACCAAGGGATTACCACTGCGGGCAACAATACTGATCAGCTGCTGTGCCCCAGTAGAAAACTGTCTCTGGGGCCTGACTGAATCCCCCCCCCCCATACTGCAAACTATGTGAGAAGTGGGAGATCTGCAACTGGGATGCCCTCTGCGCGCGTTTAGCTCGTCAGCAACTCCACAAAGCTGCCTTGAAGACTAGGGAAGTGGCGTGAGGTAGGAGGGAGATACTCAACCGTCTACCCCCATGCTTTCCCCTGTATTTAATTCCCTGCCCCCTGCCCCCAAGTCACTATTAGCTCCATAGCAGGAAGCAGGGGAGGAAGAAGCAAAACAAAATACCTATATTTTAGGGAGCAATTTCATATTGGGAAACGGCATGAAAGAAAAGGTTAAACATTCCCCTCCTCAGCTCCACTTCCCCAGTGGCCAGAGGGGCCACAGGGAGCTATTAATTGGTACATTTAAAAAGGAGGGAGGGAAAGATCCTGATCACTGATGTGCTACAGCCTAACTGTGAGAAGGCAGGATGAACCACCTGATCTCTCAGAACACTGAAGCTGCTACAACAAAGAGAGCGGAATGAAGACCAAGCCTCCCTGTCTTTCAGCTGTAGTCAGATCTGGAGTGGAGACACAGGGGCAAGCCAATCAGCAAGGGCCTGCAGCAGGATCTTGGCCTGGTGCTTGCTCCTGGAACGGTCTCGCCCTTCCCATATAAAGTCCCTTACCATTCCTCCCCGATCTTGTAGACAAAGATGATGTTGTCCGTTTGCCCAACAGCAATCTTGGTGGAATCTGGGGAGAACGCCATGCCTTTCACCACATAGCTTTTCCTGCCATACTGGAAAGAGAAGAGGGAGCCACGATAAAGGCAGGGACACTGGCTCTGTTCTTAGGTACCAACAAAGCCCAGAACAGAACAGGCCCAGGGCCAAGTGACCCAGGACAAGGGTTGACTAGTTTGCTCACCACAGTGAGGGTCCCTCTCCATTTGGGGAAGGGCAAAGCTAGGTATGACAGGGACAAATCCTCTCCCCCAACTCATCTATGCAGTTGAACTGCACTTTGGAGATGCCTCCAAAGCTCAGGAGAATGGCATGGACAAGGACCACCACCCTCCTTGGGGAGGCAGAGGCAGTGGTGAGACATATTCTGGCCCAGAAGCAAGCAGAAATTACCAAGGCCAGCCAAAGTGGGTAGCTCCTTGGCCAGAAGGAAGCCTGGAAGGAGGAGCCTGTTCTCAGGTATGACAGTGCAAGATTCTCCTCCATTCAAATACCAGATCTAATAACTCTAATGCAATTACTCTTTCCAGTTTTATTTAGCAGTATACACATTTGACCATGTCATGTGGAAGAACTCACTAGAAAAAGCAATTATGCTTGGATTGGTTAGCGGCAAAAGGAAACCGGGCCAGTAAAAATTGAAAGTTAAATAAAAATAAAAATAAAGAACGTGGTGGCTAGACACCATAAAAGCTGACATCAGCCTGAGCATGGAATGACTCAAAGAATCAGTACAAGATTGGAAAACGTGGAGAGAGTTGGCCCACAGAATCACCAAGAATCAGACACGACTGAATGGCTGACAACAACAACAACATTCTGACTGCAGTTATTACTAATGGGTTGTGTGTATATAGCCACAAGTGCAAATTTTTATATCTGTCACAAAATTCAGTACTGGGAGAGTCCCAGTCAACTCTCATGCAGACCAGTTCTGAGGCAGTTTACACTCATGGCTACTTCCTTTGTGAGACCAAAGAGGAAGGGAACAACCCTTTCCCAAGAGTTATGTTCAGGCTGGAAGAACCCAGTGTATACCTTAGGATCTGCAGGCTTCGTGGAGAACTTGTCCCTCCGCTCGCCATGTTCATCGTATAGGAGAACCACCTTGTCCACAGTGCAGACAGCAAATTTGGAATTGTTTGGGGCCCAGGACATGCATGTTACTTTGGCTGCCCCCTCCTGTAACAAAGCGGGATAATGGTTACACAGGCTGGGGGCAAGGGCCTACTGTGCATGGCCCATCAGAAACCCCCAGGTTCTTCAATCTTATGTTGGACAGCAGCATAGCCAGGGGTTGATCTGTGACATCTGAGGATTTAGTTACCTGGCTGAGATTACGGACTGTTACATTCATTTCGAGGTGTGCAGTCAGTTGTTTAATAGTTTGTGCAAAGAAACTTCTAGACTCAACGTCACTGCTTGTTATTGGGAATATATTAGAGAGGCGACTGCAATACTACACACAATGGTTTGGAACTTAATCCCATTTAAATTGATAAGATTTACTTCTGGGTAAGTTAGGCCTAAATTTTAGGTTTTGGTCCTATTCAAACTTTGACAATATAAGGCTATTTTCACACAGCATTATGGCTTTGGTTCTGGCCCCAAACTGCTTCAGTTACTTACTTATGTTTATTAGCTGCTATGACCAAAGATCTTAAGCTCAATTATAAAAGATGAATATACAACGTTAGTCTCATAATACGAACTTTATAATAAAATTTTACAGTCAAAGTAATCAAATCTAAAAGATCTAAAATGTTAAAAGAGAAGTCATTAATAAAACTATAATTCATTTAAATATTCATTTAAATCATAATAACGGTGTATACCAAATTCTGTTACAGTTGGGTCAAGCCAGATTTTTGTCGCTTTACAGATAAAACTATCATTAAAAATTTAGTAACAGAATAAGTGGTTTCAGAATAATATCTGCCAACAGATAGGGGACCACCCAGAGTTCAGTAGGTAATCGGTGTTTGGTAAGAACTGGAGTGATCCAAATCGATCTAGGAGTAGAGATGTGAAGGCCCAGAAAAAAATGGAAAAATTTGGGAAAAAACCAGGTTTTTTCCATTTTTTTCCTGAAGTCTTTTTTGTTTTTTCCCAAAGAATTGGAAAAATTGAAAAAAGCAAAGAAAAAAATTGATTATGGAACATTTTATTTTAACATGATGAATAAAATATTTTAAGACAAGGTGTTCAAATATTTTCCAAATCATTTCTAAAAAATATGTATGGTATCAGATTGATCTAATTTCTGTGCAGTGAGGACAAGCAAGTCCTAGGTTACAAACTGAACTCTCCAATGCAAGAACAAGATGCATTTCTTCCTTTAGGAGGTGCTATCGTCACAAGAAAAGAAAAAGGTTTCAGTTTTGTTTTTGCATGTCGGTGTGTATTCTGGTTGTAATAATTGTTTCGATACACTATATTTTTAATATGCTAGTTGTTATAATTTCATGCCAAGTAAAAATGTCCATAGTCATATTTTATGTTCCTAAAGTAACAGAATGACTTTCAGTCTGGAAAAGAAAAAAGAAGTGCTAATGTAGCATTTTTTAAAAAAAATCCAAAAATTTCCGTTTCTCCCCCCCCCCCCCAAAACGGAAAAAACCTGGAAATTTTACATCTCTATCTAGGAGTTGACCACTGATGACATAATAATAGAAGATGGCCAAGTGTTTCCACAGCTCCAGTCTCACAATTACATAAGCAATCCGAGTATGGGACTTTAGAAAAGCAACTTGTTAAAACTGCTTCAGTTTATCCTCTGGCTTCCGCATGCTCTCTTAAACCATTAGTTTTCATCTGGCATTTCCCCTTGTTTGTTTTTGGTTCTTTTGGGACCCTTTCCACCCTGGTCTTTTTTGAATAGCCAGTTTTGAGTCTTGTTCCTGTGCGTAATTTTCCTGAGCTTTTGTTTGTTCCACCCACTTCCAGACTAATTTGTTTTGCTGACTGGCCTGTGATGACTGTGGGACAACCTTGCTCTGTGTTTCCCCACCCCTCCATCCCAGAAATTTGGTTTTTATTTTTCTACTAGTCCTTGGTTTCTTTAAAAAGTTGCCTTATAGCAATACACCAATATATCACTATAAGAAGGCACAGGAATGATTCCAAGCCCATCTCCATGTTCCCTGACCCCCTTCTTCCTACTCTACCATTTTTTTTCTTGCACAGGCAAAGTGTTTTTTAACTAAACACATTCCTGACAGCAGTGTATCAATACAAATTGTGCCTCTGTGCCTCTCCATAACCCTCCTCCCATCTTACATTTTTTTTTCTTATTATTACGGTTTTGAGAGGATTTACCACTTTTGATATTTATTTATTGAATTTATACCCCGCCCTCCCCACGAAGCAGGCTCAGGGCGGCTTACACAGTTTGATACATAAACAACAGTTAAAAGTTAAGATAGGGGTGAGGTCAAATGGCAATTCTCACATGCACATTTTTCAGTGCCACGACTGATCAGAAAACCGCCATCATGGCAATCCTTCAGCCAATCATTGGCGATCGGGTACCAAATCACTTTGCACTCCGGGCAGTAACTTTATACATACAAAGCACACCTTTAGCACAATGCTGAGAATTGCCATTAAAAAAAAAGTCCTAGCCAATGTCTTGGCTAGAAAGTTCAAAGCCAGCATGGCAGGAAGGTGGCTGCCCAATCAGGAGATTATGAGGGGGCAAGAGAGCAAGACACAGACCTCCTATAGCAGTACATCAATAAAATAAAAAAGGAGTGGTGGTGGTGCTGTAAGGCTGCTGATGACAACAGCACCCTCTGCTGGGAAAACCCCGATAGTATTACGGTTGTGTGTAAGAAAATAAACCAGAATGAGAATTGAAAAAACGTGAAGGTCCAGAAGTCAGGCAAGCAGTGTCAATGGCTTAGAGTCTATCAAAGACTATCGTAGGCATTGCATCCATGCCTAACAGCCTCTCTTTGGCTGGTTTTATAGCCCCAAGCCTAAGAGTCATGCTTGTAACCAGTTGCTCAGAAGCAATTTTGACACAGAGAGTACTCCGTCTTTCTGTTATACCTCTGAGGATGCCAGTGACAGCTACTGGCGAAACGTCAGGTCCTACAATGCCAAGACCATGGCCATACAACCCAGAAAATCTACAACAGCTAATTCTGCAACTACTCATCTTTGTTATCAGCCAGCAACTGACGTTGGGCCCGGAGACATGCACTTTGCTGTCTTGTCTGTAGCTCTATTCTCAGCCTCTGTCTGCAACAATCTAAGGGTGTAGGTGATACTGGTGAGCTGGGAATGGCCAACTTTGGTTCACCTGCTGAATCAGGGCTGGAGGGTGTCGGTGACTCTGTACCAGCTCTTGGCTGTGAATCCTGTATCCATTTTCCTGCTGGTCAGCTTCTGTTAAGGTTGGCTACACAGGGCTCCTCTTCTCCTGAGGAGTCCTCACTATATCGCTGAGCCCTGGCTGTCTCATGACATCTGTGCTCAATACAATTCTGATAGATTGATGGCAGAGAAAACTGCTAAAAAGCCCTGTTTCATGGAAGCCAACAGCACAAATCTTACTTCACCTAACTACGGGGAATTTTCATTTCTACCAGCTCAGGCAAAATGCTAGAAGCCAAGTGATGTACAAGACTGTCAAAATTTCCAGACCCAGGAGAAAAACAAACATGAACCTCTTAACCAGGACCTTCTACTTGTCCACTTGACTGAATAGATGCAGAACCATGTGTTCTAGAGCGATAAATTCCCAGAGAAGCTTTTCTCTCTCCCAGACAACCTTTGCCATTGTCTCAGAAGACACCTTAAGCAAATCCTAGAATGGGCAAAGGCTGAGGTACAGATGTGCTGTCTGTGATGCTTTGTGATGGTTAACAGGAGGAGACATAAAGCAACTGATAGGTGACAATTAAAGGGATTGGTTTGCATAATTAGCAAACAATTGGGATAATATGCTGGGAAGGAACAGACACACATTTCTTTGGGTCCCAGGAGGTCAGAAAACCCCACAGCAATTCCAGGTCTTCAGCTTCTTCCCCTTAATCCTTGGGGGAGGGGAGGGTTACCAAAAGCAAACTGTGTAGTAACTGTTGCCACCAGCAAGTCTGCAAGCATCTCCTGCTGGATGGATTTGCACATCCAGCACTCCGTACACAAGCACTACAATTTCGAAGCTTCACCTAGCTGCCGCATCTCCTGCTTTGTTGCTACAAGCTAGCACAAGGATGAGCTATCACACTTTCACAATTTTGAGCAATTGCACTCAAGGGATGGTGAGCTTATGTGCTGCCCCCTCCCATTTACTGTTCTTAAGATAGTACAAGCGAATAGGAATGGTGTGTTTAGAGAAATCAGGTTTCCAGCATTCAAAATATACGTTTCATAAACAAAAAAAGAGTATGTATGGCCTGTTCAAGCATCAGACTGAGAAAGGATACAAAGAAAGATGAAAATATTCATTACGCAGCCCTCATACCCTATGCTGAGTACTTATGATGGTTAACTAGAATAGGCTGGTAATTTGTGAAGTTATAGCATTTAAAAGTCCGTCAGTATCTCAGAGTCTGGTCCTTTCCCCATTGTGCTCACCACGTGGGCAAAGTGATGTCCCTAGGTAAAGGTTTCGTCTTCATGGCTTGTACCCATCCAAATAAAAAACCAAAAGAAGAGAGATTTTTCCCCTTTAGCCATAGAATTTATAATCTCTCTTTCAAGAGTCCATCTCCACCTGGGGTTGTCCTCACTTTCTTGCTTCCAGAGGAAGAAATTACTGTTTTGCCATTTGGCTGTCCGTGACCCTGTCTCTTTATAGTGTGTGTGTGTTTGTGCACCTGGAAATCAGGTGACCTCTAGTGACTGACTATGTGTGCACCTGGAAGTCATGGCGACCTCTGGTGACTGACCCCTCCTGGGTGCCTGGAGAATATTCAGAGAGGTGGCTGAATAAAGTCTGCCTCTGTCCTCCCTACTGCTGGTATTTCCCAGACTCGACCCTCAGCTTCTGAGATCTGGCTTGCCTGGGCTATTCAGGTCAGGGCACTGTGGAAAAAAGAATTTCCTTTTGTCTATCCTGAGCCTACTGCCCATCAGCTTCATTAAATGCCCTCAAGTTCTAGTCTTTTGGGGGAGGGAGAAAAACTCTCTCCACTCCATACATAATTTTATAAACTTCTATCATGCCCCCCCCCCCCCTCTCTTTTCTAAACTGAAAACTCTTTTCTAAACTGAAAACCCTTCAGCCTTTTCTCATAGGAAAGGTGCTCCACCCCCCTAATCATTTGGTTGCTCTGTATTTTTCCCAGCTCTGCAATGTCCTTTTTGACCAGAACTGTACATAGTATTCCAAATGAGGCCGCACCATAGATCTACCCAGGGGAGCATTACAATATCGGCCGTTTTATTCTCAATCCCTTTCCGTCTGCAGTGTTCTTTATAAAAAGTCTGCAAAACGGTTTCCTTCCATACAGCATCTGTAGAACTGAGCTCTGGCTCACGAAATCTCATGCTGGAATAAATGTTGTTACTCTTTAAGGGGCCGACAGCCTTCTGGAAAGAAAGGGCCCTGTCCTCCTCGTCCCCCCGGACTGCGCTTCTCCCTTCCAATCCCACGGTGTTACCCCACTCAGAAGAAGAGCCTGGGCGAGCCGCCTACTCCCCACGCGCACAGCCCCATTCCAACTCCGCTTCTACTTCGGTTCGACCCCTATCGCTCATGTGCACAGCATATCCCGCCTCGCCGGTTCCCACCTGCGGGGTGAGCAGCGTCCGGACGTGCCTCAGCTGCATGTCCCGATCCCGCTGCCCGGGCTTTGCGCCGCGTCCCCGCCCGTTACCCAGGTAACAGCTACCGGGACCGGGCCACCTCTGATGATACTAGAGGTGACGCATGGAACGGCGAACGAATGACTGTCTCTCCCACGGGAGGGGCGGGACCAGGAGCACCGCTAGAGCGCATGCTCCATCGTCGCCCTCGAAGCAAAGGAGGAGGGTCGGCGGCTCAGCCAGGCAAAGTCCCACCCCCTCAGACAAGCTCCGCCCCCAGGCCGAGGCCCCGCCCCAGCCGTGCCGCGTCTCTCCCCTTGGTTTCCCCGATGGAGGCTCTGCGGGCGGCGGGACGGGCTGTGCTCAGGAGCCCTAGTCTGGCTCGGCATCGCCTGGGCGTGTCCCGCCTCCGCCGACACCGGCAACGTGAGTAAGCGGGTGGCAGGAGGAGAGGGGGATGCGACGGTCGGGTGGAAGCAGAGCCGATCCGCTTCCTTGCCCGGATCCAAAGCCCCGATCGGAGGGAGGAGGCGGGTGATCCGACGCTGGAGCGGCAGCGGTTGCTGGGAGACGGGATCCTGAGCGAGCAGCATCCAGCGCGCCCCGCCGGTCCTCTCTCTGGGGAGCCTGCGGGATAAAAGGAGAGGGTCGCTCCGGCGGGTCCCTTCCTCCCCTTCCCTCCCTTGGCTTTGTTGCTTAGCAACCAGAGATGGGGGGGGGGGGGCGCTGTTCAGGCTAGGCTTTGCCGTGATTACCTCCTCCAGTCAGTCTTGTCAGTTGTGCACCTGTTGAGCCCCCGCCTCTTGGCTAGACATGTCGGAGAAGGGGGGGAGCAGGTGGGTGCCTTACAAGAGCTAGCACCCTGGACAGGAGCCTTCCCAAGAGAGGCAACAGCCTGCCCAAGTATTTGTTCCTGATGGGCGTTCCTATGTCCTCTCCTGTATCCTTCTGCCCCCCCCCCCCTAACGTGGTGGAGTCCAGGAAGGCAGACCCAGAGGGGCTGGGGATATTGGGTTGCTTTCTGCTGGGGGGAATGGCTGCACCACCTCCTGAATAGGCAGAAGGCAGCTTCCCCTATGGACAGGGTTTCTCAGGGGAACAGGAAGAAGGCAGAAAGATTACAGTGTTATAAGGAGCAGGCTACAGAAGGAGATTTGTCTTGTGTTTCTGCTTGTGATTTTATATGTGGCAAATCAGACGGCAGGATGGCTTAGGGCTGGAATTGATGGTGCTATATGCATAACATTTATTCATAATATCAATTCGCTAGAAAACTGCTTCCCAGGACTCGTTTCTTAGGTGTGGTGTAGGCTGTCTCTCCCCTTCTGTTCGCACTCTGCCCCAAGGCTTTATGAGCTGCATGTTGAGGCTGCTGCTGCTGATTCTCTGAAAGTCTCCTATATGAGAAGCATATGGCAATTGCCTGCCCCAGAAATCAAGGCTGTCCTCATTCTGGGCCATGAATATTTATGTCTCACATGGAATGTGTGAGGCAGTCGGGAGCGCAGGTGAAGGGAAGCCAGCCTGACAGCGTGAGGTGTTCATGCCCCACATTTAGCAGGAGAGCATCATGCGCTTCTCATGAACACCTACTTACTCTCTGGAAGAACTGAACAACAAGGGGGGTTGCAGAGAAGGAACTGCTGAGAAGATAATTATTCCCCAGTGGAAACAAAGCATTTTTACCTGGGAAAGAAGGTAGAGTTTACTTAAACTTTACAGAAGAAGCAGACACGGATGATCTGTTTAAATATTGAAGTAATGATGAAGGCTGCATACACACAGTGCTAATCGTCTGTTCTGAAGAGCCAGTTTGGTGTAGTAGTGGTTAAGAGCATGGACTCTAATCTGGGAGAACCAGGTTTGATTCCCCATGTAGCTGCTGGTGTGACCTCGGGTCAGTCATAAGTTCTCTCAGAGCTGTTCTTTCAAGGGCAGTTCTCTCAGAGCTCTCTCAGCCCCTCCCACCTCACAGGGTTTCTGTTGTCGGGAGGGGAAGGGGAAGGAGATTGTAAACCCCTCTGAGACGCCTTCGGGTAGTGAAGGGCTGGGTATAAATCCAATCTCTTCTCTTCTTGAACTCATAGCCGTTCCCAGTGCAGAGACACTCACAGTGGCAACGAAGCATCCCCATGGCAGTTCCAACACTCCTTACATCTCCCTCCTCCTGCCCTGTGTCACCGGAGGGCTTTTTTGCCAGCATGTTAAAAAAAATCAGTAGTTTTATATCACTGTAGCCTAATGCTGTAGCAATATGGTAACTACAGACTTTTTAAAAAACTGACCAAATGTCCTCCAGTGGCCCAGTGTGGAAAATGGCAGCTGTAAGAGGCTGGTGGCAGCAAAATGCTGCTGAATTAGGCGGCAGTTTCAGAAATTTATCTATTTATTTATATCCTGCCTTTCTCCTCAATGGGGACCCTAAGTGGCTTACATCATTCTCCTCTGTTTCATTCTCACAACAATCTTGTGAGGCAGGTCAGGCCGAGAGCGTGTGACTGACCCAAGGTCACCCAGCAAGCTTCCATGGCAGAGTAAGGGGATTCGCATCTGGGTTTCACCGATCATAGTCTGACTCTTTAACCACTATATCACATTGGTTGTTGAACACCTTCCTGTCCAGGTGGGTGAGCAAACCTGCTTGGACTGCAATCTTCCTGGAAAGATTATAGCAGAGCAGGTTTGGGAAAGACTGGAGCAAAGCAGGGGGAAACCTGGAATGTGGATGACTGGGGGACAATGTCATGTTGATGCTCTGGAAAACACTGCTCTGGTTTGAAGCCCCGGGAACAACAAAACAGCTGTGTGGATGCAGCAGAAGAAGTGAAGGATAAACATAGATTAGTTCTAACCTATTAATTTTTGTGGTTATTTTCGTAACCACCAACAGAGTTTCTAAGATCATATTTGAGGCAGAGAGAACCATCACTCTTCCGCCCCACCATAAATGAATTTCCCTAATTGAATTTAGCAGATCCCAACTGCCCCAGAACACCGCTTATCATTCATGCAAGCAGCTCTTCCCAGCATTTTTACTTAAGGCTAGGGGAGTGCATATCCAGGCTGGTTCCCATGAAGCATAACACACTCTCTATATATAGTTTGTAGGGCAAGGCTAGGCAAGAAGGGTTTTCTTTCTTTTTTTTGCTTGAGTGCCAGATTTATGTATTTCATTTCAGAGAGTAGCCATGTTGAACAGCCAGGTTCAAGTCCAATAGCGCCTTAGAAAGATTTTTGGGATATAAGCCTTCGAGAGGGAAGTTTGACTCCCAGAAGCTTATACCCCCAAGATTGTGTTGATTTCTAAGGTGCTCCTGGACTTGAATCTAGCAAATGTATGTATTTGATGCATGTATGTATTGCCTTTCTGCCCTTGCATTCAAGGCTGCTTAAAATTCAAAGTAACACCTATGATATGCAGAACACAAAAGGAAAAGGGGACTGAGATGAAAGGAGATTCAGGCATTAACTCTTCAATACCCTATGCAATGATTCTGTAATGACCAGCTGAAATGACTTCTGCAAGGGATCATTCAGGGGGTCATGGGGAGCCCAGTGGCACTTGGGCCTAGGTGGGCTTGACAGAGGGGCTGGGCTTGAAATGAAACCGTGGAAGGGTGGGGGCCTTCCTGCCCTCCTCCAGTGGGCCCTTCTGTGAAGTGGATTAAGAGGAAAGCTGTGCCAGACTGGCTTGAGTGCCCCCTGCTTTTGGGGGGCAACAAGGGAACTGCAGGACTGAGCAAAATGGCCTGGTGCATCACCATGTAGCACAGATTGAGAGAATTAAAGTGGACCGGGAGGTTTAAGCCCGTTTTTTGACAATATACTCCAGGTCAACAGCTTCACTCATCAGCCTACTTAGGGTCAAACTAAACAAAACATTTTGACACAAGTTGAGTTGGGTTGTGCAGCCCCTCCCCATGGAGCAAATAGTGTCCCTCCAGACTGTTTTAGTTCAGGAAAAGCCTCCCCCTGTGCCACAGTCTTGATCCACATTGGGCTCTGGCACACTTGGGAGCTTTGCTTCCCACAGGTCATGTTTGGCTTTACCATCTTGAGCCAAAATGTCTTGTCTAGTTTGAGCCTCAGAGTACCATCATATGGGCAGGATAGATCTGCATCTGCCTACTTCAGAGTCTTTTCTGTGGTGGCTCTTGGGTGGTGGAACAGCCTTTCTGTGCAGGTCAGGGAGCCCCCCCCCCATTATTAACCTTTCAAAGGGGGTGTAAGACCAAATTATTGAAATGGGTCTTGTGAAAAAATGCATTTTTTCCTGAGAGGTTTGAGATGGCTTTGGGGGCACAGAACAAGCAGGAGGGGAGGAAGTCAGTGCAATTGCTTTCCAGAAGTACCTCAGCCCACTTTCATACAGATGCTAATAGATCTAGCAGGTAAGATAATGGGTGGGTCAAGATCTCCCCCTTCCCCAAGCAGGGGTCCCCAAGCAGAGGTCCATCAGTGGCTATTAGCCACAAGGTATAGTTAGGGGCTCTGGGGCAAGTGATGCTCTGTCTTCTTGGTGCTTGGGGGGGGTCAACAGTGGGAGGGCTTCTAATGTCCTGGCCCCACTGGTGGACCTCCTGATGGCACTGGTATTTCTGGTCACTGTGTGACACAGAGTGTTGGACTGGATGGGCCTTTGGCCTGATCCAACATTGGTGTCTCTTATGTTCTTATGTTATGTAGGGAACAGGGATTTGGGAGGAACTGAATAGTAGAGAGACTCCAGGAAGAAACTGGAGATCTCCAGGTAAAACCTCTTGACCCAGCCTGTCCTGGTCAGTGGGTGGGGGAAAGAGAGGAGGCAAAACTCAGGGAAGCAAGGAGGAAGTGGTCTTTTCTTTGGGTGCTGCATCCATGAAAGCAGACAGACCTCTCCACTGAGAAGGCAGGCATTTTGAACATGTGATCACCTGGAGAAAGCTTCAAAGTAATGGTAACTCTGTAGAGATCTATAATTTTCTAAGCTAAGGAGCCTGTCCTATATTTTAACATCTGATAGAGCATGTATAGAAAGAGGAACAGAGGATTTGCATATTACCCTTTTCTTTTGGATCCCTTGCTCAATCTGGGGCTGTACTAAAAGGATGCTTGTGAACATTTTCTTTTTAGTAAATACTTTATTACTTTTGAAGCTGGCAGTGGTTCTCTGTACCACATAGACCTACCGTCTCAGACACTCTATTTTAAAAGGAGCACCAGGGGGAAGGCCGGCAGTTGGCAAGTGGCTTTTCTTCCAGGGGCACACAAGGCAGTAACCTGTCCCTGTGGTGACCAGACACTGGGCAGCGGGAGACAGAGGCAAGCCCTCAGTACTGGGAAAGGAAGCTGGGAGTGTTGACCCTTCTAGTGGGCAATTCCACACAAAGGTCAGGTGGTGGTGGTGGGCTACCCGAGAGTGGAAGAAAAGCCTCTCCAGGTGTTGAGAAAAACCTTCGAAGGCAGGGTGGAATAGGGCCTGCAGGCCAGAGCAAGCCAATTCTGCCATAGGCCTTCCAGTGGGTAAAGGTATTGTGATCATCTGAACTTGTTGGTTAATCTGTGCTCATGTGTAGGTTTTAATAGTATGTTTTATTCTGTAGTATTTTAAAAAAAGTCATTATAACCTGCCTGGAGCCCTTTTTAAGAGAAAGGTGGGCTAAAAGTGTCTTAAATAAGATTAGAGACTAGACGTGTCCCCTAGAATTCTTAGAGACTGTGGCTCTGGTCCTGTTGGGTGCAACTTGTTGAGAGAATGATTTCGTGAGTTACATGTTTTCTTTCTTTGAGATTAAAATACAATTAACAGTATCTGAATTGGGGTCCATAGGCAGTGTTGTAAAGATCTATTGATGTATCATTAGAGAGCCAGTGCTGCGGTGTGGTAGAAAGTTGGACTAGAATCTTAGAAACCCAAGTCTGAATTCCCCTTCTGCTGTGGAAACTTGCTGGGTGACCTTGGGCCAGTCACTCTCTTTCTCTCAGCCTAACCTAATGGTTCTAAAGATGGAGGCAGAAGGCGGGGAGAATGATGTCGTAAGCACCTTAGGGCTCCCACTGAGGAGGAAAGCAAGGTATAAATATGTAAATCAATAAGTATAGCGTTGCACCAAATGGCATTCCTTGTTCCTCTCTCTCTCCCCGCTGAACTTTCCGTTGCAGAACTCCCAGAGACCTGGACTGACATGCGTGAGCCTCTCTTGGAGGGCATGGGGTTTGCCCTCAAGTACCTGGGCATGACACTGGTGGAGAAGCCTAAAGGGGAGGACATGGCGACCGCAGCCATCCACCGGATCATTTCCATGGTAGGTTGTTTGTGGCTGCCTTGAAGAGAGCCTGGGGGAGGAGGCACCACTGGGGGGAGGCTGAACCACAGCAGCCCTAAAGCAGGCCTAGTAAAGCTTCTCCTTTGCCCCTCTGCCTTCCCCTCCTATGCCAGCATTTGGCTGGTCTTCTGTGCCCTTCAGAGCACTGGTTCATAGGGAGACGAAGTGTGGAGAGCCACTGTGACTGGGGAGGTTGAAGACTCGGCCTTCTCAGGGAACTGTGCGGAAGAAATCAGCCTGGATCCCTTGAGGGTAGGGATCAGGCCGCACACTCACCCACCGTCCCTCTACCTTGGCCATTATATAGTGCTGCAGCTGGTTGCTAGGATCACTGGCCAAGGAGCATGCTGATGAGCACATGGCCCCAATCTTTCTTCCCCTGCCTCTTCTTCCTATCTTCAGGCTCGGGTGGGACCCAAGAAGTTCCAGAAGGTGATTCTGACTGTCTCGCCCCGCGGCCTTTCCCTGCAGGATGCCGAGACAAAGGAGACCATTGAAAATGTCTCCATCTACAGGTGCGGCTGGAGCAGAGGGCATCCCCTGAGGGGATATTGCTGCAGGGTGTGTGTGTGTGTGTGTGTGTGTGCGAGCGTGCGCATGCACAGGCAGTGTCTTTCAGAGCCAGAAAGAGATGGGGCAGCCATCCATCAGTCACCCTGGTTCTCCTTGTATCAAACACCTTGAAATACCACTGGCTTGGTGACCCGCAGCAGTGTCGTCATGATCTTGGGCAGGGTTCAATATGTCCAACAACCCCCCAGATTATGCTTTGTAGAAACCCAAGGCCTGGTGTGAAGGGAAGGCCCCAGAACACACAGGCCTGGCCATAAGCCTTCCTTGAAGAGGAGAAATGTGAGAGAGTTCCAGCTCGGGCCTCTGCCACCAGTCCAGAGGGGTGTTGTAAGAATTTTTGGATGTGTGGGTGTGTATTTAACCCTGTCACCCACACTTCCCCCCCCCCTCAGTTCGTGTGTCTCCTGAGTGTCGCCCCGTACCAAAGGCAGAAGTGCAAGCTTGGAATTCACTAGTCTCTTATTAAAATAAAACTTATCTTTATTATAGCAAAACATTCAGAGTCCTAGTTCCTAAACATACACACAGAAAAATAAACATGCAAAACAAAGTTTTCCCCACCCCATGCAAGCGCGTCAAGAGGCCTCTCTATGGCTGTCTCCTTTGGAGTCAGCCAAGTTCTGTTGTAAAACCACCCCATATTTATACCAGAGATCAAAAGGATCCCTTAATAACTGGATTACAGGTGTAAATTAACATTTAGAAGTTGAGACTGTTTTACAGGAAACTTTGTTTTCCTTCCTTGGTTGCACACAACAAAAGTTCACATTCCAAAAGGATCAATACAGTGTCATCCAGGTGTTCCCCAATCAGGGAAATAAACTGTGCTTTGATGTTTATCAGAGAGATGAAAGCAGGGTGGATTGGAGTCTGCCAATTTCCCAAATGGTCATATATTTTATGGCCTGGAAATTGGGGTTAGTGGCAAGTTTCACATCTGTGGAGCTTCCCTGGGAACTTCCTGACAATTTGAATGTGTTACATCATCAGTGAAAGAAAGGTCAAGCCAGTTTTGCTAGCAAGAGCAGAGGCAGAGATACATATGTGGATTTCATAAGCTATTTTGTTCATTTTAAACCCAAACACCCAAACCCAAACACTTCCATCTTTCAATATTTCTTACCACAAGGGGCAGTTATGTTAGTCTGTTGTAGCAACGTTAACCAGGAGTCTGGTAGCAGATGACTGGACACGTGAAGCTGCCTTGCATGGAATCAGGCTCTTGGTCCATCGAAGCCAGTCCTGTCTGTCCTGACTGGCAGCATCCGTCCAGGAGCTCTCGAGCTCTTCCGCACAACTTACTGCCTGATCCTTTCAGCTGGAGATGCCAGGGATTAAATTGGGGACCTTCTGCACCTCGGGCAGATGCTCTGCCACTGAGCCACAGCCCTTCTCCTTAGCTTTTGTGGCTCTAAGGTATATTTGATTAAGCAAGCTCTGATTTGCAAAAGCTTCTACTGGAATACATGCTGTTCATCTCAAAGGTGCTACTGGACTCGTATTTAATCCGACCTGCTCATTTGGGGCGGGGGGAGGTGTGTGTTTTTCTGCCTACATGCAGAATAGCTGATCTCTGTTCCCCCGGTAGTGCTGTTGGGAGGAGAGAGGCATGCTGGCTAGCTTCTGTTCCCTTGGCTGTGGATGGTGTACGACCTGTGGCTTTTGCATGTGGACTCTTGCATATGCTGTAGATCCCCTGTCACTGCGGCTCCTGCTTTTGGCACGGGGCTCATGCTTAACATGCCCACAGGAGGCATTAAGCCCCTTTCCTGCCCTCTCCCCCTAGGATTTCCTATTGCACCACGGACAAGCTGCAGAACAAGGTCTTTGCCTACGTGGCACAGAACCCGCAGAGCGGAGCGCTCGAGTGCCATGCTTTTCTGTCGCCCAAGAAGAAGATTGTAAGCTCCGCTCTGGACTGCGTTCCCCTGTGGGGACTGTGGGGGCTTGGGGAGGGAAGAGGGCTGGTTCCCAGTGCTGGGCCAGGGCTTCTCATTTACCAGACTGCCCTTCGACATGCTGCCTAGATGAGACGGTGCAGGCTGGCTGGCTCCGGGGGGGGGGGGGGTTCCTTCTGCCTGGCCCTTTGCTTCTGCCTGCCTCCCCCCCCCCTTCTGTTGCAGGGATCTTTCCAGGTCGGCTGCCTTCTCAGTCACCTGTGCCTTCTCTTCCAACATCTAGGCCCAAGCTGTGACACTGACTGTGGCACAAGCCTTCCAGGTAGCCCTGGATCTTTGGGAGGCCGCTCAGGCAGGTAGGAACCCCTCTGTCATTTTTGGGCTGGGGTGAGGACTCCTTTCCTCCCCGGTGAGGCTTAGCCCCGATGCAACATCAGTGGCTCCACTAAACCTCCCTCGGGGTCTGCTTCTGGCCCGCCTCCCTGGCCCTGGCTTGTCCTTTTCCAGGTCGGGCAAGTGAAGCCCAGAGGTGGGAGCTTAATTCTGAACCTCCTGATCTCAAATGGGCAGAACAAGCTTCGAGTTATTCAGGAAGGAGGGGTGGGGGCTCTTGACATGCTCAGAGGAGTCGCGTTCTAGATCAGTCATGAGTTGTCGGCTACCTCACAAGCACTGAGAAGGATTTTTTTTACTCCCTACCCTGATTTCGTTCCAGGTTCCAGGCAGGAGCACCCGCTGAGTACGCTGTGCCCCATGGAAAGCACTTGCCAGCCAGTCAGGTCACCCATGGGTAGCCCCCCCTTCAAGGCAAACTTTGAGGTATGGAATTGGGCCTGGGCCTCCCCCTTTGTATTCAACTCTGTGATGGCAGGAGGGCCCTGCTGCCTCCTAGAAGGTGGGAGTGAGGGGGCTCCGTGGTCTGATACCTCCCTCCTCCCTGGCCATGTAGGTGGTGAATGCCCAAGGCCTTAGGGAGGAGCCTTGGGGCTTTACCTGCAGCCATGTGCTTTTTTATGGTGCTAGGATGATGATGATGAGGAGGAGGAGGAGGAGGAAGAAGGCGATCTCCACGAATCCTGTTCTGGGTAGGTGAGAGGCCTCAGCACTCTGCCATGCAAGTTTGCTTGGGAGGCCTTTGGCCAGTCTGTGTCTGTCTGTCTGTCTGTCTGTCTCTCTCCCCCTCTTCCTCCCTCCCTCTCTGTCTCTCCCCCTCTCTCCCCCCTCTCTCCCCCCTCTCTCCCTCCCTCTCTCCCTCTCTCCCCCTCTCCCTCTGCCTAACCTACCTCACAGGGTGGTTGTTGTGAGGATGAAAAGGAAGAAGGGAGGACAATGTTGTAAGCTGCTTTGGGTCCCCACTGGGAAGAAAGGTGGGTTATAAGTTATAACTATCAAATAGTCGTAGAAGAAGAATTGGTTTTTATGTCCCGCTTTTCTCTACCCTTAAGTCTCAAAGTGGCTTACAATCACCTTCCCTTCCTCTCCCCATAACAGGCACCTTGTGAGGTAGGTGGGGCTGAGAGAGTTCTGAGAGGACTGGGTCTGGCCCAAGGTCACCCAGCAGGCTTCAAGTGGAGAAGTCAGGAATCAGTTTGGTGTACTGGTTTGGCGGACTCTGATCTGGAGAACTGGGTTTGATTCCCCACTCCTCCACATGCAGCCAGCTGGGTGACCTGGGGCCAGTCACATTTTTCTCAGAGCTGTTCTCTCAGGAGCAGTTATCTCAGAGCTCTGTCAGACCCACCTACCTCACAGGGTGTCTGTTGAGAGGAATGGAAGGAGATTGTAAGCCGCTCTGAGATGCCAAGTAAAGGGCAGGGTATAAATCCAACTCTTATTCTCCAGATTAGAGTCTACCGCTCTTAACCACTACACCACGCTGGCTTCCCCTTTGGAAGTTGGCAGGGATGGTGCTCAGTTGTGATTGCAGGACTGTGGCATGAATGAGAGGCCACCCGGCTCCTTGGCATCTCTGTTGGGTTGTGGGGGCCCTCTGCTGCTTTGACAGGTCTCTCTTTTTTTCTGCACCAAGCTGCACAGAGGAGGCTGGCCAGCCCACAACAGGTAAAAGAGCTCTCTGGTTCCCCTTGCTTGATCTTCCCGCTTTCCATCTCTCAGCACCCTCTTTCCCACTCCCCCATCCCACCCCATCCCAGCATGCCTCACTCTCCTCAGCACCTGTGCTCTTATCCGTCTGTGTTTCAGATGAGGGGTGCCTTGCATTTGGGAGCTCCCCAGTCACACAGTTCCAGTCGGAGGCAGCCATGGGAAGCGGTCGCCCCAACAGCCATCTGCCTCCAGGGACGCTTTTCTAAGTTCGCCTCGGACGCTGCCATTCTCGCCATCTCCAGCACCACTTGTTTGTAGCACACAAAGGACCAGCCAATCTTCCTCAGCCCTCCAGGCGCAGCTCCCTGATTGGCCGGCATCACCTTACTTAACTCCGAGCCTCAATTAGCCTTAGGGTCACCAGCAGTGCTCCCGTCGCTTGGCCTGAGTCACCTGAGGGGGGACTGCTCCACGTTCTGTCTGCAGCAGGGGGTGTTCTGGGACCTCCCGTGGGTGTATCCGGTAATGGTGCTGGGCCTTGTTTGAAGGCCACACCCCTGCAGGCCAAGAGGGGCATCCCGCCTCTGGCCAGGTGTGCTACTATGCAGGGAAACTAGTTCCAATCCCATTTTCCCCCTGCTCCTTGGAGGGGAGCTGTGTGTTGCAGGGGTACAGAGGAAGTCTGGCCTCTGCTGCCAGCTCTCCGCATGGTCTGGTGCGAAGGCAGCAAATCCCCCCCTATGCCCTTCCCCTTGTCTCTCATCACTGCCAAATCACAGCTTTGTAGCAAAAGATGTTAGTTTTTCATGTCCTTTTCTAAAGGGAAATAAACGATTTGTACTGTTGTACTTTGGTGCCCCTCCTTGCAGCCCCCCCAGTCCAGATCAGTCGGTGTGAGCAGAGGTCAACATACCGAAGCCCAGCTCTTGGGACTCAGTTTCCAGCCGGACTGGTTTGTGTGGCTTCTCCCTCCTTCCCAGGCATGTCCCAGCCTGGCGCAAACTCATCTCTCCTCTCCTCCTTTTTTGCTTCTGCTGGACCAGGAGTGGTAGTGTGAGGTTCTCTACTCCTGGCCGACTGGTCCGTGGGAAGCTGCCGGCCTGGCAGTGCTGGGGCAGGGTGGCACATTGTGTCCCAAGGCTTTCAGAGTGGAGGGGAGTGCCAGTGAGTGGTGCCAATGAGAGCAGAGTGGTCCAAAGGAGGAAGCGAACAAGTCAGGTCTGGCCATGTGGGGAAGGGTGGCACACTTGGAATCCGGGCCCCCGGAAAAGACAGGCCTCCATCTCCCCCGTTCATTCCTTCCACATTTGGCAGACGTCGCTAGGGAGGGGAGCCCGGAGGACGCTTGTGAGCTAGCCATGGGACTGGGGGAATGTGAAAGGGGGAGAGGATTCCTGAGGGTTGGTTCTGTGGGCGTTGCAGGAGTGATCTCCCTCACGGGTGCAGGGCCCCAGGATTTAGGGCACTGTGGGGCTCAGTTGTTGTTGTTGTTGTTCAGTCGCACAGTCGAGTCCGACTCTTCGCGACCCCATGGACAATCTCCCGCCAGGCTCTCCTGTCTTCCGCCGTCCTCCGAAGTTGGCTCAATTTCATGTTCGTTGCATCGCTGACACTGTCTAACCATCTCATCCTTTGCCGTCCCCGTCTTCTTTGACCTTCAATCTTTCCCAGCATCAGGGTCTTTTCCAGTGAGTGCTCCCTTCTCATTTGGTGGCCAAAGTATTTGAGCTTCAGTTTCATTATCTGGCCTTCCAGGGAACAGTCAGGGTTGATTTCTTTGAGGATTGACTGATTTGTTCTTCTTGCAGTCCAAGGGACTCTCAAGAGTCTTCTCCAGCACCATAGTTCAAAAGAATCTATTCTTCGGCGCTCGGCCTTCCTTATAGTCCAACTCTCACAGCCATACATGACTACTGGGAATACCATTGCTTTGACCATGCGGACTTTTGTTGGCAGGGTGATGTCTCTACTTTTTATCATGCTGTTTAGGTTCGCCATCGCTTTCCTCCCAAGGAGCAGGCGTCTTTTAATTTCATGGCTGCAGTCACAGTCTGTGGTGATCTGGGATCCCAGGAACGTGAAGTCTGTCACTACTTCCACGACTTCCCCTTCTATTTGCCAAGGAGTGATGGGGCCGGATGCCATGATCTTAGTTTTTTTGATGTTGAGCTTCAAGCCCACTTTTGCGCTCTCCTCTTTTACTCTGAGCAAGAGGCTCTTTAGATCCTTTTCACTTTCAGCCATTAGAGTGGTATCATCTGCATATCTGAGGTTGTTGATCTTTTCCCCAGCAATCTTAATTCCCGCTTGTGATTCATCCAGGCCAGCATTTCGCATGATGTACTCTGCATATATATTAAATAAGCAAGGCGACAATATACATCCTTGTCGTACTCCTTTTCCTATGCTGAACCAATCAGTTGTTCCATATCCGGTTCTAACTGTCGCTTCTTGGCCCTTATACAGGTTTCTCAAGAGACATGTGAGGTGGTCTGGTACTCCCATCTCTTTAAGGACCTGCCATAGTTTGTTGTGATCCACACAGTCAAAAGCTTTAGCATAGTCAATGAAGCAGAAGTAGATATTTTTCTGGTACTCTCTTGCTTTCTCCATAATCCAGCGAATGTTGGCAATTTGATCTCTAGTTCCTCTACCTCTTCGAAACCCAGCTTGTACTTCTGGTAGTTCTCTATCCACGTACTGTTGAAGCCTAGCTTGTAGGATCTTGAGCATGACCTTGCTAGCGTGTGATATGAGTGCAATTGTGCGATAGTTTGAACATTCCTTGGCATTGCCCTTCTTTGGGATTGGAATGTATACTGATCTTTTCCAATCCTGTGGCCACTGTTGCGTTTTCCAAATTTGCTGGCAAATGGAGTGCAGCACTTTAACAGCATCATCTTCTAAGACTTTGAATAGCTCAGCTGGAATACCATCACCTCCACTAGCTTTGTTGTTAGCAATGCTTTCTAAGGCCCATTTAACTTCACATTCCAGGATGTCTGGCTCGAGGTCAGTGATTATACCGTCGTGGTTGTCAAGGACATCGAGGTCTTTCTTGTATAGTTCTTCTGTGTATTCTTGCCATCTTTTCCTAATCTCTTCTGCTTCTGTTAGGTCCCTACCGTTTTTGTCCTTTATCATGGCCAGCTTTGCATGGAACGCTCCCTTGATTTCTCCAACTTTCTTGAAGAGATCTCTAGTCCTTCCCATTCTATTGTTTTCTTCTATTACTTTGCACTGTTCATTCAGGAAGGCCTCCTTATCTCTCCTTGCTGTTCTCTGGAAATCTGCGTTCAGTTGGGTAAATCTTTCCTTTTCGCCTTTGCCTTTCGCTTTCCTTCTTTCCTCTGCTATTTGTAAAGCCTCATCAGAAAGCCACTTTGCTTTCTTACATTTCTTTTTCTTTGGGATGGTGGTGATTGCTGCCTCCTGTACGATGTCACGAACCTCTGTCCATAGTTCTTCAGGCACTCTATCTATCAAATCCAGACCCTTGAATCTATTCTTCACCTCTACTGTATATTCATCAGGGATGCGATCTAGGTCAAACCTGAATGGCCTCGTGGTTTTCCCGATTTTCTTCAGTTTAAGTCTGAATTTTGCAATGAGTAGCTCATGATCTGAACCACAGTCAGCTCCAGGTCTTGTTTTTACTGACTGGATAGAGCTTCTCCATCTTTGACTGCAAATTATATAGTCAATCTGATTTCGGTGTTGCCCATCTGGTGATGTCCATGTGTAGAGTCGCCTCTTAGGTTGTTGGAAAAGGGTGTTCGCTATGACCAGTGTGTTCTCTTGACAAAACTCTGTTAACCTTTGCCCTGCTTCATTTTGCTTTCCAAGGCCAAACTTGTCTGTTATTCCAGTTACCTTTTGACTTCCTACTTTAGCATTCCAGTCCCCTATGATGATGAGGACATCATTTTTTGGTGTTAGTTCTAGGAGGTGTTGTAGGTCTTCATAGAACCGGTCCACTTCAGCCTCTTCTGCATCAGTGGTTGGGGCATAGACTTGGATTACTGTGATGTTGAATGGTTTGCCTTGGAATCGGACAGAAATCATTCTGTCATTTTTGAGATTGTATCCCAGTACTGCCTTTTGCACTCTCTTGTTGACTATAAAGGCCACACCATTTTTTCTACGAGATTCCTGGCCACAGTAGTAGATATAATGGTCTTCTGAGTTAAATTCGCCCATTCCTGTCCACTTTAGTTCACTGATTCCTAGGATATCGATGTTCAGTCTTGCCATCTCATTTTTGACCACGTCAAGCTTACCTTGATTCATAGATCTTACATTCCAGGTTCCTATGTAGTATTGTTCTTTGCAGCATCGGACTTTCCTTTCACCATCAGACACATCCACAACTGAGGGTCCTTTCGGCTTTGGCCCAGCCGCTTCACTCTTTCTGGGGTTACTTGTACTTGCCCTCTGCTCTTCCTCAGTAGCATATTGGACACCTTCCGACATGAGGGGCTCATCTTCCAGCGTCATATCTTTTAGCCTTTTGATACTGTCCATGGGGTTTTCTTGGCAAAAATACTGGAGTGGGTTGCCATTTCCTTCTCCAGGTGGATCACGCTTGGTCTGAGTTCTCTGCTGTGGCCTGTCCGTCTTGGGTGGCCCTTCACGGCATAGCCCACAGCTTCATTGAACTGCGCAAGCCCCCTCGCCACGACAAGGCAGTGATCCATGAGGGGGCTCAGTAGGGGAGAGGAAATGGCAGACTGGCAACATCCCACTGAGGTGCAGTTTTAAGAAGGCCACGGCTCAACAGTGGAGCAGAGTTAACAAGCAGAAGGCAGCCAGGGTTAGGAAAGACCTTTTCTCTGTATGAGGCATTGGAGAATAGCCACCAGTCGGAGTAAGCAATGGGCTTGATAGCCCTAATGACTGACAATGATAGGCCTCAAGGGCTTCACCCAGCCTGGGTCCCTGGAGTGCACGGACACCCAGCCCATTCCCTTCCGGTACCTTCCAAGGCCCTCCGTGCAGGGCTGAGAATCCCCAGTTCTGTTGTCAGATGATTTAAATGAATGCAGAGTGAATGTTCTTATGTTCCGTGGGGATTGTAACAACACGGATTCTGGTATTTTGCTAACATAATCCAACTCTGACAGGTAAATGTTGGGAGGAGAGGCACAGGCTGTCCACTTACAGCGGTGGAAATGTATTCAGGGACCCTGACACAGACACCACTGGGGTGGGGCTAGGGTTTCCAACCTCCAGGTAGTGGCTGGAGATCTCCTGGGATCACAACTAATCTCTAGGTGGCAGAAATCAGTTCTCCTGAAGAAAATGGCCGCTTTGGAAGGTGGATTCTATAACATTATACCCCATTTAAGTCCCTCCCCTCTCAAACCCCACCCCCTTAGGCTCCACCCCCAAATAGCCAGGTATTTCTCAACTTGGAGCTGGCAACCCGTGGGAGGGGGGAGCAGACGAGGCATGTGTGTAGCTCCCAGCTGTTTGGTGTAGTGGTTAAGTGAGCGGACTCTAATCTGGGAGAACCGGGTTTGATTCCCCACTCCTCCATTTGCACCTGGCTGGATGACCTTGGGTAAGCCGTAGTTCTGATAAGAGCTGTTCTTGAAAAAGAGCAGTTTCTGTCAAGAGCTCTCTCAGCCCCACCCACCTCACATGGTGTCTGTTGTGGGGAGGGGAAGGGAAAGGCGTTTGTAAGGTGCTCTGAGACTCCTTTGGGTAGTGAAGGGCGGGGTATAAATCCAATCTCTTCTTTCTTCTAAAAGGACTCTTGGTAGTGTGTTCAAAACATCATCTGTGAGGACTACCCACTTACTTTTCTGAAAGAAACGCCACCCACCAAACCAACGCCGGTGGTCAGGTGTGTCAGACACACGCGTGATGCGACCTTCCCCCCCTGCCTACTCAAGACTATTGTGGGGGGGGGGGCGAAATAGGAGAGCACAGGCTGTGGCATTGCTTTTGCCGGAAGAGTCTTTTATTGAAAAGGACCTCACTGAGCAGTGCCACCGTCCCCTCCCACCCCACTGCCAATTCCCCGCGGAAGCCGAGGGAGGGCCCAGCTGCAGCTTCTCCCTTGCCCTCCCCACGCTCCTCTGCACTCTCCTCCCACAGTCCTCAGGTGGTGCTTACCCCTCCCGCCCCACCATGCAACACTCTGAGCTGTGTCCCCGGGCTGGAAGAGCTGGATTACTGGAAGACAGTAGATGCTGGTGCGCGTGCCTTGGAGTGGCCCAGCAGCCTCCAGGCTCCAGCTGGCAGTGTGTGTGTGTGTGTGTATGGGAGGGGAGAGCATGAGCGACTGTCAGTTCCTCCTATGGCACTTTGTCGTGGCTGGGAATGCTGGTTGGGGAGCACTTGGGGTGGAACCTGGGCAGTTGCGCTCTACGAGGGGACACTCCAGATGTTGCTCCTCTGGCAGGTGGGGGAGAGTGGAACGGGCTTCCTGAATTCTGGAGGAGGAGGAGGAGGAGTGGCTGAGGGCTTGAGGCAGAGGGGACGGCCAGGACCCTTGTCATACTGAGCTGGGGTCTGAATGCTGTTGGGACTAGGAAATGCCACCAGCCAGAGCCTTTGGCACAAGAGAGGGGTCAGCGGGGACAATTATTTTGTTGGGGGGGGGGGTTGGCAGCTTGTTACAGGCCTGACGAACTATTGTTGCTGGC